CGATAGGATTATAAACTGACTTTTTTACTACGCTCGATAGTACTTTGTTCACAAACCTCCGTAGTTTGCCATTATTTTCGTTTGTTTTGCTGTTTTGTTTCCTGGCACGTCACATCGAGACGATAGGCTTTTAAAAGAGGGAGTAATGCTGCGCACATTGCCGAGGGGCGCATGGCCTAATGGTTACTGCACTTGGCTATCACGCAGAGGCTCCGGGTTCGATTCCAGTGAGCGGACTTATCTTTTATTTATTCTTTCAACTCAACGTTCTCGTAAGTTCAAGAACCTTCTAGTCTGATTGAATTACGAATGTTCTACGCCAAATGTTCAAGAAACCCATGCAAGTACAAAAGGTGCTCCGCGTAGCGGTCTGGAGTCAGTTTCGCCCCAGCGCTCGATTCTGCTGTTACGCGGACATCGATGCCTGCGACGCTAACCTTTCTCTATTTTGTTTTGGGCACAAGTTCGCCCCATTGAACGTTTAGTTTTTTCAATTATATGCCACCTCATCATTTGTCCTTTGTGACAATAGTGTTGTTGCCACTCGGCACACAACGAACCCAAACTTTGTTTCGGATTGGCACATGGCAACGATGCTACTTCTTTGAAGTAAAATGAATCAGTGGGCCAGTTGGTACATGTTTGTACCAAGTTGTAAGTTAGCACTTGGTCCTGTCTTGTCTTCTTCATGTCCTCGTTTTTTAGGCGCTTCACAAGATACTTCTTTGGGTATGTGGTGCATTTAGGTACGCTATGCTAAAACTCCCTACTAGTACCACGCCTGCACTCGATACTGCCTTGTTTGTGCCGTGCATGCCTCATCTGTAAGTAACCTAATTTAGTTGTCATACTCACTGTGCCAACTTTTGAGAAGAGAGGAAACACGGGCCTCATGTCTGCATCATTAAAAAAAAAGGGGGAACTGAACATGTTCCTGGGGAGTTGCATATCTTACATCCGGGGCTCTCAGACTTTTAGTAGGCACCACACTTCACCAAAAAACCACCAGGAATACTCCAACCTCACCCCATCTACCACTTTTAAACCCGTCACTAAAGTTTACAATATGAACCAGAAAGACTAAGGCAGAAAGTTACAGGGTACACGTCTATGTTGGGTGCTCACATAATGCAATCATATTTTAAAGAGAAATTATGGAACCATCAAAATTCTATGAATTATCCAGTATTCTGAATATGCGAATAATCGAATTATAGAGATTCTTTTGTTCGCACGTAACTTCGTTACATTTCTTTAAAATATCTGCAATTTTTAAAAAACCACACTACAGCGGTAGTCAGCGGCCTCCCATTCAAGATGCAGTAGCGTCCGTAGAAAAATTAAGGGAAACCTTGAGCCACTTGAATTATCCAATGTTTTATGGGAAGTCCCCGGGCTAGAGAAGATTTATTTACTCCAATTTGAAACAAAAGTTCCTTAGCAATCTTCTGCTTTCCTGAAATGGTGGCTTCATCCCACATCTTGGGTTATCATTCCTCAGGGGTGTCAAAGAAAGAATAAAAACACTTAAGGGGAGACACTGCCCAGAAAAAAAATTTTCTACAAAAAAAGTTGATTTTGAAAAATTACATATTTACATCCACCAACATCTAAAGAGTATTCCCAAAAAGTTTAATTAATTTTCACTCTATAGTTAAGTTTTTGTAAATTATTTTCTGTCTACTAAAGCTAAAGAAAAGGTAGGGTTTGGAGCACTTTGAACGCATTTTTCTCCGTTCCACTTTTTGGTATAAATTCCATTTTAGTCAATCTATCGTTTGATAATGGCAAAACAGGGAAGGCTCATTCTTCCCTTTTCCTGACTGAAATTTAACAAGGAATGCGGCTATGGAACTTTTTTGTCACTTTACGGATGTCTTTTATAGAAAATGTTGATATTTTGTCGAAGACACAGAAGACCAAAAAGTTGACCAATTTTGCAGAAGAGACAATTTATAGAAATAAAATACTTTTTAGAAAAAACGTTCCATAGCCACACCCTCTAGGCATTCTGCTACATATCTAGCAAATAAAAATTTTGAATATCGTGATAGTTTTTTGACGATAGATTAACTAAGCAATGTAGGCGTGTTGTTGATAGAAGCTACTCTACTTTCCTTCTTATTTAACCGACAGATCTGAAATTTTGTTATACACCCTCTAGCATGACCACCAGCCTACCCTGTAAATTTCATTAATTTTAAGACAAGGGTTCAAAAGTTGACCCCCTAGGGGGTGTGTCCCCTTAAGGACAAGGACAGACAGCACAGTTCTTTCAACTAGCAACACACACTTACTGGTGTCTCCTTCAATAGTGCTATCTTCCTAACGTTTGAGACTAAAGAGGAAGATGCGGAAATTAATATATTTATATACACCCGGAAAAAACACAAATTTACACCCAATACACTGGAAGATAAATAATTCAGAAAGAAAGAAAAGAAAAAGAAAAACACTATTGACAAATTGAGATAGAGCGCCCTTTGGCTAATCCAGCTCTGGTTTCAGGTAGTTGATCTCATTTCTGGACAAGGCGAGAGAAGGGGCAGCGATGTTGTGTCGTCATGGGCTATCTTGTACGCCTCAATGATCTCTCTCCCGAGCTTGTTCTTATGTCTGCCAATCGTGCAGGTATCCTGGAACCGGGCTTCACAGTTCGTACAGAGGCGTTGATGAACCACTATTGGTTCATCAACAATTCATCAATTCATCAAACACGCTCATCAGACCGTTCCCTGTGAAGAGGGGGTGGTATACTCTATCCCTCTCTCCTGTGGCGACCGATACATTGGACAGACAGGTCGTTGCCTTAACACGCGCCTACGAGAGCACGTCCTCGAGGTCTCTCGTGCTTCGGATGACACTTTTCACCCAATAGTGGTTCATCAACGCCTCTGTACGAACTGTGAAGCCCGGTTCCAGGACACCTGCACGATTGGCAGGCATAAGAACAAGCTCGGCCGAGAGATCATTGAGGCATACAAGATAGCCCATGACGATCACAACATCGCTGCCCCTTCTCTCGCCTTGTCCAGAAATGAGATCCACTACCTGAAACCAGAGCTGGATTAGCCAAAGGGCGCTCTATCTCGATTTGTCAATAGTGTTTTTCTTTTTCTTTTCTTTCTTTCTGAATTATTTATCTTCCAGTGTATTGGGTGTAAATTTGTGTTTCTTCCGGGTGTATATAAATATATTAATTTCCGCATCTTCCTCTTTAGTCTCAAACGTTAGGAAGATAGCACTATTGAAGGAGACGCCAGTAAATGTGTGTTGCTAGTTGAAAGAACTGTGCTGTCTGTCCTTGTCCTTAAGTGTTTTTATTCTTTCTTTGACTCCCGTATTTTCACCAACACGCTCTTTCATCTTTATCATTCCTCAACATTCCTTCAATGTGACTTTCGAGCAAAATAATTTAGTTATAAATTTCACTCAGAAATCCCCTGGCATTGAGGCACAGGTAAAAAATGGAAAACTATTTTGTATAATTCTAGCCAAATAAACTCGGGTTCTCAAAACATATTCCTGGCAAAGAGGTCAAGTTTGTGTATCGCTGCAAACTTCTAGCATCCCGCCCGTGGCAGTTTTCCCCGTAATCATCAACATTACAAATTGGATGCTTCGCAAAACAGAGGGGAAATCGGGATGTTCCAGCAACCACCTTAAAGGGGTTATGACACAAAAATTAAACGGATAGATTATTCTTGAAATGGAATGCTCATAGGCTACCTAGTATATACACCAAGTTACGCAATTTTTAGAGCTCTGATAATGGCAATATTCAATTTACGAATTTTTATAATTTTCATCTGGCGACCAGGCAACACTGCTGAAGTTAGTCACACCATGGTGTCCATAAACCACGTGACCATGAACACTCTCTCATTCTAGGCGCCCCCATGATCGCCCAAGCTCTTCTCGTCGCGGTACGAACAAAACCGCTCAAACAGCTCGGTAAACTGAAAGCTATTCTCGCTCTCGCCCCCCGGCCGGTTGACCTTCCACCCTGCATGCGCCTGCGAGACATTCCCGGACGACGGTGACCACGGCGAACTCGTCGTCGCTGCAGCTCGTCGCCAGCGGGTCGCAGTCAAAATGAACAGCTTCCAACATCTCTTGATAGCAATCACTCTCATCGCTGCTGCGATCAATGTCGAACACTTCGACAAGGCATGTGATGCCGTAGACGTAATCGTCACAGACCGGATGCTGGAAACGTGGAAGGTAAACGAGGAAGCTGAGGCTCCATACGCCAAGAGAGCCAAGTCTGTGAGTGCGTGCAAGGGGACACCACGCTGGAGGCTGGCTACGTCATCAGCCTCCCGGTCCGCCCGGATCTGCCCCTCCGAGGGGCCCGCATATAAATCGATTTCTCCACGAAATTATCGCGCCTTTTTCAAAACAAATATAGCAGGATTATAGGAACATACAATGGGTCCTAGCAGTATAGTTATCTCATATTTTATTTTTGGCGTGTCATAACCCCTTTAATAAACCCAATAGCCTAGTTTGAGACATAGTCTATCTACCTTCTGTCTGGCCTTTTCACAAAGACACACTCGGTGCCCTAGACACAGTGCTGACTTTGCTCCGTTGTCAGCACTGTACTACCGCTCCACTGCACGTGACCCCACCTTTTCCCAGATACACGCATAATGCGGCAGTGACACGGTGCCGAGTCGTTATCTCAGTACCAAATAGGCACCGACAGTAGTGCCAATGCAACACCGACTTTTCATTAGCTCAGCTCCGACAAAGTGCTGACTTTTTATTACCTCAGTCCCGATAGCACCAACGCGGCTCCAACTCTTTGTTATTTCAGCACTGAGACACACGCGTGAATCGGCCTTTAGACTTCCTTGTTCGTACCCCAGTCCTCGGGTTAATGCTGTCGCGGTAAACGCTTGCCTGTGTACCAATTCCATTTTCAGCTTGACCGCAATCGTAAATGCCGCAAGCTGGACGCTTTACAAAAAGTGCCAACAGATCCCGGCAATCACCTTGATGAGCTTGTTGTGCAGCCGCTCGTCGCGTATGATCTCCAGGACGGCGGTGTACACCTGGTCCCCCCAGGGGTGGTGTTCGTGGGGCGGCCGCTTCCCCTTCTCCACCTTGTCGTAGACCCCCTCCGACACCACCAGCACGACGTGGTCCACATTGTGGAGCTGGTTCGTCAGCCACAGATGCGGTACCCCCATCTCGTTGGCCTCGGCCGCGTCGAAGGCCACCTCCAGCCCCGGCACGTCCGTCAGGAACTTGTACAGGGCGCACACCTTCGCATAGTGGTCGTCCGAGTCGTACGAGTAGAGCAGGAACACGCTCGACTGGCGAGTCGACTCGGGCTTCCGCCCTGCATTCGGAGGGAAGGGAGCGGGCTTGGAAACATGCGCGTGCCGACAGGTGCATTGTCTCAGTGCACGTAGAAGACAAGGTTTGCCCTATTCTTTCTCTAACATCAACGCTTTGGACCTTTCCAAACAGAGCACCAGGGTCGCCGCCATTTTGCGACTCATGGGACCCCTATCAGCCAGAAATTTCTTCCACCCTCTTGGGCTGTGAAAACCCGGGTGGCGTGACTCTCCACCTGCGTTGTACATTCGGGGTTTACCGGCCTTTTTCGAAAAATTTTACTTTACAGCATTTGCCTACTAAGGCTGTTTGAATTTTTGTGTTATCCCTTACCGTGTAACGAGGGTATGCCAGGGCTCATAGCTTTCTGCTCATAGTTTGCACGGTCTTCGCAAGAAACAAATAAAGAGAGCAAGTGTCGGAGGGCCCACGATCTGGGCCGTTCGACGTTCCTTAAGGATTATCTCCGTTGAGATGACCTCTGGCTTGCTTGCGCAGCCTTCATGAGAAAATAGCTGATCGGATGCGGGCTAGGCAACAGAAAAAACATGCGTGTTCCTTTGCTTTGGTGCTGTGCAAAAAAACGAGCCCTCTCGAAACGTGCCTTGAAATTAGTCAGGATTCCATTCGATCGTCGGGAAGTGACCGACGTGGACACTGTAGATTGGATACGCTGCGTTGCCATGTCTCGCCATCGTGAGTAGTTACATGGTAAGCCAAGTAAGCAATGATAGCTTCGTCCTACCCCGCACGAAGGCGTTGCAGAACGAAGTCCCCGTCATGTTTAGTCGTCACCCCACATCTCATCGAGATAGAATGTAAAGTGGGACAATGATGTTCCGCTCCATCAGCCACAAGCTTCGCTCCCTCCACTCCCGCATGAAACCGATGGGTCAATGTCATGGAGCAGACATTGTATTTCCTCGAGAGCGGGGAGAACTTTAAGCAGTCACAAAAAAAAACTGGTAAGCAGATCTTCTACTGCATTCTTAATCTGTCAACGTTTGTAAGTCTTTTCGACCTTCACACCAGTATATCACTCAGCTGAAAGATATCTGAATACAAGCTACGGAAAAGTGAAAACCAAATGGGAAGAGAACAAAATCTTACACTACTTGTAGCACAATGTTACACTTCAGCAGCCATTTACTGGCCTGAGCTCAACAAGTTCTCAGAAGTCACGGTATGTAGACTGCTCCTAAAGACGCAGGTGGGATAGGGTGATAAGCTCAGTCTAAAATTAACAATGCTTTATAACTTCTAGGTCATACACCACAAAGTCTGATCGTGCTGTGCCTACCCTTGCATGCACCGTTGCGACATACAGCTTCTGGTTTTCTGATGCAAGTAGCAACAGCCTCATATGCCAGGCTGCTTGTACAAAAGTAACAATTAGTCTTGTTCAACATGCGGGAAACTTTTTTCTGCGTGAGATTGCTGATATCACTCGTAATAACTTTCGTTGAAGCCAAGAAAGAGCAGCATGGAAAGAGACTTTGCCATGTCTGTTATCTAAGGCAGGGGCTCTCAAACTGGGTTCCGGGAAACACAGGGGTTCCCCGAGCTGGTCTCATGGGTTTTGCGAACACCCAAATTGCAAACACCCCCCCCCCCCCCTCCCTTGCCGCAGGCTGTGCGGCGCGGCAGGACCATGCACACCGCCTTCATCTCACTTTGTACTGACATCACAACTGATATGGTGGGGATATATGGGAAGCAACACAAGCAAAATTGCCTACAATTGTGCATCTGTTGCCACTTGGTCGGCAAATATGGAGGGGAAGGGGGGGCGGGGTTCCGTGGCAGTTTTTGACGCTTCCTAGGGTTCCGTGAAGCCAAAAAGTTTGAGAACCCCTGATCTGAGGTATCGGTTTCCGTGTCGTGCGAGTCTGTAGTAAAAGGCCAGATGCTCATCACTCATTTTTGGTAAATCATCCCAAAAGATCTTCCACCCCATATACGTCACCATTCATTGTTTCACAACGAGTGACTGCTTGCTCAGGATTTTATGGTATTCAAACACTTTGCAATGACCAAAAAAAAAAGGGAAAGAAAGCTAGAAAAATGGAGAGCTGCAAATGAAGTGGAAAAGTCGGATCGTGCTTACTCTTGACGTAAACATAGAAGGCGGCACCAGCCACGATTATGATAACCAAGATTGCACCAATGAGAGAGGCCACAAGTATCACCTCAAAGTGAGTGACTGAAAAAAAAAGAAGGAAGTAGAAGGTAAGAATTATTACAAAATATCCCATTTCATTCATTTCAGCTGCAATGCAAAACCAGAGGACAGGGATTATTAGTCACATAGAAATGTATGTGGACATAACATGAAGCAGGAAACCTTGAAAACAGTGTGCGTAATGTAGTCAGGACTGAAAACAGCAGATAATGCTTGGTTGCCTCAGTCATTTCGAGTTATGCCTAAAAATATTTAGTCGGCGAGAGAAACCTGGTTGATAGAATCCGAATTTTACCTACCGCATAAAATGCGCTGAAACAGTTGGGTCAACATGTGTTATCATATCGTGCAACCAAAAATGATTAGGCTCCACAAGAAAAGGTACACCTAAGCACTTCTTATGAGATGTAAATGGGAAAGCACGCACGCCGCTCTTCGCTCCCTTCTTTAATCTGCGGTGTACAACGCGCTGACCTAGGGCGTGGAACGGTGGAGCCGCTGCCTCGAGGACACGCAGTGCCATCGGGTGAGCGATCGTTCAAGCTGTCGTGTGCCTTGCGGCACGAGGAAGAAACAGACAGCAAAGTAGTTCCCAGCAGAACAAACCCCTTCGTTTATTCCATGTGCCGTATATATTACCACGCACTGTAAAACCGATAAGAGGCGAGCGAACGGGGTGATCAGTGATAAGTGATAACACAACAGTGTGATAACACAGTCAGGATGACACCACACAAACTGACGCGCAGCAGCCAATGGGCGCATTTAGTAGCGGCTCCCTCAGCTCCGAACGGAGTCACTCGAGTCGAAGTCCTCAGAGCGCCTATTGAACGGCAAAAAAAAAACCGCGGCTTCAAACCTGCTTCTACGCAATTTCCGCTTCTTCCCTGTGCGCCCTGTGCCAGACGGTTTCCGAATAAACTGGAAGCAGCTGATGGTGAGCACAATCGCGAGCATGATCGCTTTTATTTGATGCCAGTATTGAAGAAATCTTGAAAAGGTCATTAAAGAAAAAGTGAGTGACTGCACACATCAGCGCTGCTGTTCGAAGCGATCCAACACGATCGAGCCCTTCGTTTGGCAGTGCAAAGACAGCTACTGTTATAAAAACCGACAAAACGTCGTCAGCACACCCAAATATGGAGCTCGGCGAATGTACGCCGCTAATTGCGATACTTTTATACGGCCATACGTCTGTTCTGCCCTTCATAACAAACTTCCCATAAAATGTATTCGTATACACACCGGGAAGTTCAGCCGCGCTCGGCGATCAAGGTTTTGTCGGCTGAAGCGAGCGTCAGCCAACGTGCACCCCGATTTAGCACGCAAACAAAACATTAATCAGGATCATGCTCTGCACGAGTGTCCAACCAGCTACCAAATTCGCGTTCATACCCTGCCTTGCTCTGTTCAGCGTGGACAGGACTATCGTCGATATTCACAGAGTTCCCGAGCAACGGCGATCAAGACATGGCGTCAAATGAACGTTTACGTAGTTTATTAGCATATTCGAACCCAACAAAATATGGTCCAATGCACTTTCCGAAAGAGCCTTACCTGAAAAAGAAATTCGAACGCGTTATTCGTCTTACCTTGAGCACTTTTCGTTAAAAGCGAGGAAACCACACACCCGCGACAAAACAGACGCAACTTATCCCGCCATTTTTTTTTTTTTTTCTTTTAGTGTTGGAACTTTGTCAGCGATCCAGAATTACGTCATGCTGCGCTCCTTTTGCTCCTCGTGCACCGTCTCCGGAGACGGTGCACAAGAGCCTGACTCCGAAAACTCGGAGTAACGTGCACCGGAAGTCGCTTTTTGCCGTCTAGTGGAAGGAGCGCCGAATCCTTGACTCCTTGCCTCCTGGAGCCGCTACTGAACGCGCCCAATGGGAGCCTCGTTGACGCACCCCAGCCAATGGAACCAAAGTGTAAAAGGAGCCGTTGGCTAGCTTTGCACGTGGTTTCATTAAGGTGCCGTTTTGCATGGTTTCAAAACTGATGACGTCGGCTCGCTCCATGAGACAGTTAATGCTTTCACATTAATAAATCAGGCAAACTAAGGCTGCATGCTTGGGCTAAAATCGAAATTCAGCATGCAAATTTGGTAGTACTTGCCACAATGAAGACTAAAATTATCTTTGCAACACCTTTAACAAGAACTCAATGTCAACCCTTTCTTCCAGTCTACGAAGACAAGATATTAATGAACAAGACACTTCAGAGCTTAAAGGGGCCCTGCAAAAAATTTTTGACTGGTTTTTAACTTGCACCAAACCTGAGCTCACTGAACGTAGTAACTTAGTGAAACTTTTCTTTTCACAAATTTCATTTTATTTTAGAAGTTATAGGCAATATAAAATTACAAAAACAAGCAAAAAATAACCCCCTTCATGATGCAGTAATGTGATTGGCCTAAACCATTTTGGAGCACCTTTCGGAGCAGCCAAAACAGTGTTTTGGAGCAGCAAATGTGGCCTTTGGAGCAACCAATAGAGCGTTTTGGAGCAGCAAAAGTGGCTTTTGGAGCAACCAATACAGTGATTTAGAGCAACAAAAGTGGCTTTTGGAGCAGCCAAGACAGTGTTTCGGAACAGCAAAGGTTGCTTTTGGAGCAGATATTCTTAGAAAAATAAAAATATTTGTTTTTAGTGCTGTACATATGAAGGGCACTTAGTGATGCGTTGTGTTCTGATCTGGCGTGCCGCAACGGAACTTGCTGCTTGCGTTTTTACTGCTGAGACATCCCACAAGTGTACAGTGCGTAGGCATTGCCGAGCAATTTCGAAAAACTGCTTCCCACCGTTTGACTGGTTCCCGACGTGCAAGATTTTAGCTAAAGTAAGCAAACGTAAAACAATGGATTGCAAGCGCCCCGGCTGGTGCTTCTGTCGTGCAATCATATTTGCATGCACGTGAGGCCAACTTCGGCAGGCTTGCAGTTGCGCGTACTTCGTCGCACTAGCTGAGACAACGGCTATTCAATCGAAATCGAAACCATGCCACTTTATTCCGTTGCCAACTGATCTCCAAAATTGTATGCAAAATGTAACTGTCAAGCATACGACAATAAACAGTCCAGCAGCGTGTGCTTGCCAGGCTGGCAAACAAAGTACAAGCTAAAGATACAAAAAAAAAAGGAGAAAAAGTACCTAAGCGTATCAATGCAAGACATCGCGAGCCAAGGTCAAAAAGTTCTTAGAGCGCTTTGTGCAACGACTGAACTCGAGACAAACAAGCGCGCAGTGAGGGTTCAGCGTCCAGACCATTGCCTTCTTTGTTTTAGCTAACTTCTTTTCATCAACCTTCTTTAGCGGCAAATTTTTCACGTACCGGGGTCCAAAGCCCACCCAGAAAAACCTAGGTAATCAATACTTCTACACAGTAGTCTTTGAGTTAAAGAAAGATTTTTGTAGTAATGTATGATTTAAACAAGAACAGGAATGTTGATGAACATGCAGCGGCACTTACCGTAAAAACCCGCATATAATACGAACCCGCGTATAATACGAGGCATGATTTGAGGACCGCGAAGAAAAAAAAAAAGTTTTATCCGCGTATAATATGAAACAATTTAAGGACCGCGAAAATATTCCGCGTAAAATGCAACCCAGGAAGTCTTAAGAAAAACGTATATTTGCGTCGTAATTGAACCTTAATCACTGTCATCACTTCCATCAGACTCCTTGTCCGATGCCTCCTCCCTAAGGCAGTCGTCTTTAGTGCCGTCGAGCACATTTGAAATTCCGTACTTCTTGAAAGAGCGAGCGACGGGCGTGCAACGACGCAGTGAAAGCCCGGCGCGGCGTATAAAGCGAACAACCCATTGTACCCAATGTCGGCTCATCAAAGTTTTCTGGCCCTCTCTTGCAGCAGCTTGATGTCTACGGCGACGTGCCGTTCACGTTCCTCTTTTACAAAGTCGCCGAGACTTGCCTCGGCGTCGGCGAGCACGCCATTTTTTGGGCCTCCAAAGCTTCTTCTCGTTCCGTTGCACGGGAACAGAGCTTGCTTTCGTCGTCTCCATCCGCGGATGCCGCCTTCATTTTCGGCGAATTGTCGCCCGGCAGCACTGTTGCCGATGTCTTCCGCAACCAAAATTACTTTTCTATTGAAGGCGGCTGAGCATCGTTTTCGGCGATTCGCGCCGACGCCATTGCCTAGCCTGACCGTGGATACATGGGCTATGTTCCAAATCTTACCCAAGTAACCTGCCTCCTACGTCAGCGGGTAATACCACGTGACATCGCGAGTAAACGATCCGCGACTCGATTTTGGAACGGCCAGGATAATCACTTGGATACTACGCGGATTGGCTTCGTCTTGGGCGACGGCAAAAAGAAAGCACAGCAGCGATGACAGAAAATAGCAGACGATCCTTTTGATCATGGAGAAAGCACCCGAAAAACGGTAATGTTAATGACGACGCGGTGTATTTTGAGGTGGATCCACCAGCTCCTTTTACTCATCTTCGTTTTGAGCTGTATATTGAGATCAAAATTACTTACTCCTTACAGCTAGACATAAAAAAAATGTGTTTTTATTAATCAGCGCGATCGCTGCAATTCTAGTCACGCTGCCCTAAACGCATATATTCCACGCATTGTACTTTGCACCGATTATGTTTTGCAGAAATATATTCCACACGGTGCAGCGGTCCAGCGCGAGGGTGCTTTCTCCAGAATATGAAACTCACGTTCGCTTTGACGCGAATCTGATTACAGTGAAATTTTCGAAGCCTTCACTGCTTTACAAACGTTATCCTCTCATTACACACATTCTGGAGGAAACAAAAATATTACATTATCATATACCGAGTTCAAACATTTTCGGCCTTGAACGTGAGATTACGGCATTCCCCCAACGCCGAGGACGAGGATGCGGAGAAGCTCCTGTTTACGCTCGCACTCAGATAATAACAAGTACACGTTCCCGGGGAAGGTGGACGGTCTGGATGTAATGCAGTCAATTCCTGCGTTGACAACAGCAAATCGCAATAACCACACATGCTGCACCTAATTCTCTGTCATTTCGAACGTCCGCCACCAAAACCAACGGAGCAAACGAGCTTTGACGGCTGTCGGCGCAGAAAGCAGACGACGAACAGATCACGTGACGTATTTACTCGATTTGATCCGACTTTACCCCCCGATCGAGGAGGGTAGCGCGAGTAATTACTCCGGAGTAAACAACCCGCTTCAGGAACGCGAGTTCTGACGTCATCGAGTAAGCTCGAGTAAGTTTTGGAACGCCACGGTACGAAACTTTTACTCCGGAGTCGGATCGAGTAAATTTTGGAACAGAGCCATGGTGGCTTCTCGGACATTGTGATTTTAATGATGATGATAGCTGTTTTGAACGCCATATTGCTACGAAACCGAAACCACGTCAATCTGCGTCAGATCGCGCCTCATAGAAGCTGAAAATTGTTGGGACCCACGTATAATACGAATCGCAAATTTTACATGGCAAAATTTGAAAAAAACCTCGTATTATATGCGGGTTTTTACGGTAGTTTCAGTTTAGAAAGCGCCATATCTGCAGCGACGTGGGGAGGGCAACACCCAACGTCGCGTGACCACGGTGACTGGAAGGCAGGGACAAAATATAGTTTTCCCACGGCCGTTGCTTTCAGGAGAGAGTGCTTCAGCTCACAAAGTAACACCCGCCGCGCAAAAACGTGGTTTTGTCTCACAGCATTGCAGCACGGCTGGTACCTGGCATGCTAGCATCGGAGCGTCCGCACACACCCGCGTCTATCAAAAAAAAAAAAGTGCGAGACGAGTTTTATGAGACGAGAGCGCGAAACGCGAGACGGCGAGAAAACCATGCAAGACCGGATGGACGATTAATGCAGGGTACTTAGTGTCGAGCTCAATTGCATATGCTCAATTAAAGCACTCAGTTTACTTTCGGTTTTTAAAGGCAACCGAAAATGGTCCTTTGGCGCAGGCTTGGTGCATATTACCCCTATTTTGGCAAAATGTAGCAGGATGTAGCAGGGTTAGCCCCTTGACGCAGTTTGGCACAATTGGCGCAGTGATCACATCACTGATGATGTCTCTGGTCCTGGCTTGGGTGGTTGTGAACTAGAGGAGGGGTAGTGAGCTGAGCAAGTGCTCACGGCTTCCGCACTCCGTGTCGACGGCTCGAGAGGGCGCCACTAAGGCATGGGCTGGGTAGGCTGGATGAAGTGGGCAGCCGGGGCGGCTCGCATTGTGTTTGCTGAGCGACTAAACACTCTTTCTTGAAGCTTTTTGGCTCGAAATACTATTTGCCTTTTTAGGTCCGAACCTCCGAAACCCACAAAAGAAATATGTGACACACGAGTGATGCAATTCGCCTGGCTGTGTAAACTTTGCACATGGTACGAAGCACAAATGCAAGACGTTGAAGGTGAATGCCGCCAGACCAATTTCCTGGGTGCCGTCTCGATACCTGACTGCTTTTGCACTTGGTGCGAGTACTTTAAGGCAGGTGGGCCTACCAGGAGTCTGTCACCAGAAACGGCCAAACCGCAAGCCAAACCTGCTCGCCGAAGGCCTTCGGAACGCTCGGAACCGGTCGGATCCTTCAGCCCATACGACCGCATCGCCACTGCGTACTTCCGGGCCATTTTTTCTGCTCACCAGTTCACAGCAATGCGTGCCGTGCGTCGGTGCCTGATCCCACTACCCCTTTCTAGTTTGTGTCACCTTTTCCACCGCTTGGGGGCAGGTATGTTGACGGGCAATTTTTTGTTTCCATACTTTCTAAACTGCATTTGTTTCTTTTCTCATCTAAAATACTGAACAAAAGCTACTTTCATATCTAATTGAAACGGTTCGCGCCACTTATATTTTATATTTCGACCAAAAAAAAAAAGCTTTTAGCGACTCTGACCAGTCTTCAAGCAAAAGCTGACCAGGACCGACATTGTCACGATCTTGTCACATGCCGCGCGCGTCCAGCACCACGGGGCGCCCCTGTAGAAGGAGGTTTCCGCGTCGTCCAGTTAAAATATGACGCACTGATATTTAGTTCCTCTCTCCGTGCCAGGCTAGGTTGCCCGAACCACAAGAGATGTGGAAACCGAAAAACTGGTAGACACTTAAATAGGATTGCAGGGTCCCTTTAAGCTTAAGCCCTAAACAAACGCTCATTACCACACTAGTCGGTGTGATAAAAAGTTTAATTCGAGAAAGAAAAAAAAAACAGAAAAAGAAACAGCAATTTCTTTGTACTAACAGCGTCGCAATGTGTAAAACCAAGTAAAACTTGTGCAGCGTCAGTCAGGTTAACCCTTTGATGGTCCTTGCCCGACATGTTTTCGCTGCGATTACAGATTTGAAAGTTCCCACCTAAACGGCAAATCATGTGCACTCTGGGAGGTGCTGTCTCCTGCTATGTCTTTGGGGAATTATAAACATTGTACTTGCACCCTGTTTCACCTTACTGGGGCTACGGTATATATTAGTATAAAAATTAGACGTTCTGCGCACGCGATAGCAATGTGGTCACTTTGCCTGTCAGGCTGCTCTCACGGTAGAGGCGATCCAAGCGCCGGCTCCTCCAATTCAGACTTTTAACGCGCCTTTGTGTTGCATTCAGAGGATGAGAGCTCATCATCCGATGGAGAGGCTTTGTAAAGGATCTCCGGTTCAGAATCCGAGACCACCAGAATGTTGTGGAAGTGGAGGCTCCAAAATGAAACCGAAAAGTGAAAAAAGGCTTAGACTTTTCGTCCTAAATATTTCCTTTTGATGTGTCTAGATCTGGACAGCTTGCAAGAATGCTCCCATTAAATAACTTTAAAAAAAACCTGCGCATTCACTCTTTCTTTGTACTATCCCATTAAAAAAAACCTGACTGCAAAAGGTAGGGCACAGAAGGCTCTGTTACCTGAGAAAATGACGAAGGTGTCTGTCATCGTGATTGTACAAGAATCTTTCCAATCCGGATGGATGGGATGAATCTCGAGGTGGTATGTTCCTCGGTCCGTTTTGGGAAACTCCACAACGTTCATGACACCTTCTTGCACGTCACCTACGACGATGCGCCGATTGATCAGGTCATGTCCTGAGGGCCCGTGCTTGAACAGAGCAACGTCATACTTGGAAATGTTTAAGCTTGCATCTGCGGTGCTAAACAAGGCGATCACATTGCCGTTTGAAAGCGCTGGCTCCAGGATCATGACCGTGCTCTCCCAGTTGCACAGAGTCTCTCCTCCTGCAAAAAGAACGGAGCATAAACAGAGAGGAATGTGTACTCCCTCTTTTCCAGTCTATTTCAAATATGATGGGGGGTAGAGCAAGCATATCCAAACTGCAGCTCTTCATGGGTGAGAGTGCAGCTCTGATGACATATGATCTTTCAAAACAGCATAGGATTGTTGGGGCCGAAACCCAGGGCTTTTTCATAAAAACAGTGCAGGCGGCAAAATGATGAAAAAAAGACAAACACAATTACTTTCTACAAGACTGCCTTCTGTATGTACTGAATGAGCACGTGAAAATTAGATGATAAAAAAGGCAGTGTAGATTGCATTAAACAAATTGGATTGTGTTATTTGCCAAGGCTTTTGCATCCTTTGGCACACTATGCAGGGAGTCAGGAGTGCCAGATTTGCACGTACAGGTCAACTCAGGGTAGGTCTGTGGATGCCTATGCTTATTTCGCCTTGTTCTTCCATGCAACACTATGCGCATTCAACTGCTGAACTGACCCTCGTTGTATGCATCTCACGAAAAAATTACTAAAGTAGATACCGTGAGGTACACCTGATCTGTTTTCATCAACTGGTAGAGCTTCAAAAGGCAGACACCACTGAGCGTTGTACAACCATATAATGAACAGATTTTAGAAAGGCTTTAATTTACGGCATTGGCTGCAGGACGAACATGCACAAAGCATGTGGGCACAGATAATAGACCCATATCACTTCAACTTGTGCCATTAAATATTAAAATTCAACTGAGCATTTCTCCCTGGGACTGGCTCTACGGAGAAATATATTCTTTATTGTGGCTCTAGGGCCATGTCAGTCTGGTCACCCGTGATCTAGTGCATGTATTCTCAAATTGGGTTCCTAAAATCTTAGATGAAGCCCAAGGTAGCCTCAGGCATTGCTTGAGTATGCAAATATACTCTCAATTATCCCTACCATCAAATCTATGAATTTTTTCAGCATTGAAGATGTACACTATGTTGGGACCGAGGGGGTTCTCCGGGTAGCGTCACGCAGGGCCAGGCCAGGAAAGGAGCAGCGGGCAGACTCCCGTCCAGGAACATGACGAGACGGGAGGGTCTCTCGCAACGAAACTTTGTTTAATACACCTGTGTACAAAGTAATTACAACGTCCGAGAGCACAGATGCGACATTCTGTTTGCCCCTTTTATAGGGTCGCTCTTCGGTACTCTTGCGGCTGGCAGCCAATGGTGGCCGAGCTGCCAACAAATCATGTTCAGGCCCCGCCTCCACTCATCCCCTGAGCACGCACACACCCACATGCACACACTGCAGCTGTGGCCGGACTTTACACTCTGGCGCCGAGGCACCCTTGCCCTCGAAAGCTGCGCCGAGGAGGCGACAGCAAGGGGTCCAGTGTTTGCCCGGGTGACGACGTTGGCCGTGGTAGTGCTGACCCCTCCATCAGACGGCGTTGAGGCACGGGAAAGGGCTTGGCCGGATCATCCGCAGGTGGCGTCCGGGGATAATCCCACCCTCAAGGAGGTCCCGCAGCTGGCGCGTCATTACCCGGAATCCTGGCCCGGTAATCCTCCCGGTTCTTGAGTCGGCTGACCCCGTTTCGGACCAGCGTTAACGCAGCCAGAAAGAAGGGTCCGGCTTAGCTCCGCGCCTAGGTGGGGCGACGCCAACACGGTGGTCCCACGGCACCCCCTTGTCGCCTCTCGCCTCGTTTCGGGCAAGCCGACCGGAGCCATGTGGCGATGCTACTCAATGAGTTCACCGTTGCCGGACGGATTAGATAGGGAGGGTCTGGTCCGGGGCTTGTCCGTTTTCACAACAACTAACAGCCTTATGCCTTTCTTGTGCACAACAAACAGTGTTATCCCAGCTAACCTGAGCCATGTGTTGATGCACACTGTTCAGTAGAGCCTTCCTTATGCAGATAATAACTTAAATATCTGCATCCAAACAACATCTGGAAATTACAGCTATAGTTGCAACCACATGAAACCTATAGTCTAAAATTCTTCTTTTTAATTTCCTTTTACTCGGACACCACTTTTGGTGCACATGTGCATGTCCAAGCTCAACCTTCCAAATGTCATGCATCTCTCATGATACAGGAGTATACCAAAAACACTGCTGTCAACTTTAGAAATGGCATGTGATGACAAAAGTATCATGAAGGCCCAATCCAGATCTGAACGAAAAGTTAAACAAACGCTTTGGTGCCGTGATCCTGGGGCCAACAGGCCCTTTGGAAGACACCATTTTGTGGCCCGAGTGTGTCTCCTCTACTTGAGGGAACGATCTGCTGAGCTTTGCAATAGCACAATCTCCTGTGCTACAAGTTACTGCACAAGTGCAGTAACCTGTAGCACAAGTTATAGCCTTCTGATGCTATAACTGAACCCCAAACACTTCTGCCTTGAAATGAGAGACCTAGACATCAAGGCAGCAGTCAGTCAAGGCCAGGTGAACTGCAGCCTTGCACATCAAAAGCGTGTCAACATCTACCATATTATCCTGAAAGATGCCCTACCCCTGTTTTTGACACAATTTGCTACTTTATTTTTTTCAGAAGCACTTAAAGATAGTAGCTTACTCCTAGTAATTGCAGCGATCTCAGCAATATGTACCTCGGTCGAAAAGGGGTTAGCTAGCTACAGCGGGAGATAAGCAAACACTGCAGATTGGGAAGGACAATTGTCTACACTTTATTGTCCTTCAGTTGTAAAACAAGTTTGGCGGGTCATAGAATACAAAAATAGCATTTAAAAATTTTTCTTGATCGTACACCGAAAGTTAGCCCGCTCCTCATTTTCACCCGATTTGCTCTCACTCTTAGTTGGGCTAGCTTTCGGGATATCATGGTAATCTAACCAAACTTTGGAGAAAGCGTCCATCCTGTGTCCATGGCGCAAAGTATCCACATCCAATCGGATAACTGCGAAACTGAATAAAGTTTCATCCACACCCGCAGGACCCATTGAGTGCGCCTCCGTGTATCCGTGGATAACCCATGGGTGCATACTGCTTTAGTACTTTTACCTCTATTTCTGCAGCCGCCGGACAAACTACCTGGTGACACTTTGAGTCCCCGATTATTAGTCCACCTTACAAAGACATCCCACCTTGTCCAGTGTCCAACCTATTTGTAACCTGCAATTGATCAATGTTTTGGCCCTTTTGCAGTGACATTAAAGGGACACTGAACTCTCAAAGACAATTTACTTGGATAGGACGAATATGATGCAAAGTGAACTTTACAAAAAAACTTTTTCACACAATATTTGCGTCACGAGACACATCCCGAGTTAGGAGTGTGTCCAAAACATTCTCCTATTTCAAGGTGTCGACCCCGAAATATGTGTGTATCGGAATACCTCCCAATTCGAAACGGGTCTCAATATGCAAATATTGCACTAAAAAGCTTTTGTTTTGGGCATAAATCCACTTTTTGTCTGACATATCTTATCCAGGCATATATTTGGAAGTTCAGTGTCCCTTTAATTAAGGTTGGGGAGCACTGCCCATGCATAACGGCTACTTGGAAAGAGCCACATATGTATGTATGTATGTTTAGCTTATGGGGTATCCCTGTGTGCGGCAGCTAGATCATGGAAAAAAATTGTACCTTGCTTATGAGAAGACGTTGAAAGCGTGACGTGAAAGACGCCAACATTATTTGTTGGCAGTCCACGTGCCGTGAGCAAGAAGAACTTGTTGTCAGAATCCCCTTGAATTTTGTAGTAGCAGTCGTAGTAGAGGCTGACCTGAAACAGACTTTCCGTTCACATAATACACAATCGACGAGAGCAATCCTACTCATCTGGCCATGTTGATGGTCACACAAATTTTTCTTTATACAGCGTATAAAGTACGCTGTATAAAGTATGTACTGTATTGTTTTTTGAAGCTCCTGCTTCTGATCATTCATTTTAAGAAGGTGCAGTACTGCCAATTAGCATTAATGTAAAATGTTTTATATCTCCCTGGTTGCTCTTCTTTAAAGGGTCTAATGTAAACTAAAAGTATTGCTGCAACTACCCTAGTAGAGAAGCATCAATGCAAAAATTCAGTAATATGGCGATTTGGGCCAGTTGGTTCATGATCGTAGACAAGTGGCACAAAAAGAGACAGGAACAAGAAGATGAAGTAAACACTGGCGCACTCGCAACTAACATTTATTGAAAAACCAATCCCTTATAGCAGGGGTCTCAAACACGCGGCTCGCGGGCCACATGCGGCCCGCGACTCGCTGGGACGCGGCCCGCAGGCAACCGGTTATGAATCCCGATTTTTTAATTAAGTCAAGGCTAGGTGGCTTTTCCAAATAAATGCCAGCACGTTGACGGGGCAATGTCATTCTAATTCTTGTTATCACATAAGGCCAGGGCCCAAAGTATAAAATCAAATCTAAAGATGTCACTGGCAAACTGAGTTCACAAAAAGCAAAGAGCACGAGGGTTCTTCTTTCTCTTTCAAATATTTAACCCCCCCCCCCCCCCCCCCAACTTTGGCCCTCGGCCTTTCCAGTGTGGGCTATCTGGCCCCATACTCAACTGAGTTTGAGACCCCTGCCTTATAGTATAGCCGTAAAAAAACCAACAGTCATGACTATAAACGGTGTAGCCCTCTATTGAGAAATTCATGTTCTTTTGCCAATAAGGCTTTGGATGCGTCACTTGTGCACCTCGTACCTTTGGTTTTGACCTCAAATGCCCCGTGTAGCTCTCAAGATACTTTATCTGGGTATCTGGCCAAAAATTTGGCGTCATCAAATGACAGGGAGCAAGGGCAGCGGCTGCAGTGCGTGGCCAGATTTCCTGATGGCATTGCTCGTGTTGCCGCATCACGTTCGCGCGCGCCATCATTGAAACACTGGCCTGTTTGATCAGTGTATACAGACCCGCATGACATTGGAATTTCATAAACAACTCCCGTCGTGCATTTTGTGAATTTTTTGCATTTCTCTGCAGTGTCTGTGGGGGAGTTGATTTTACGGCACAGTCTCGACAGCTTGTTGGGTGCCGAAAAAACCACTGGAATGTTGTACTGGTTAGCTACCTTTTTAGGGTTGGGGTTATGGAGTGCATATACGGAATTGCAACTGGCCTTACTGCACTTCTATCACGAGGTTGCCTATGTGTCCTTTTAATCTTCTTGACTAGGCTTTCTGCCACCTCCACCAGAACACTTGGGGGGAAGCCAGCCCTCTACAAATGTGCTGCTTGTTTCTTGAAGCTTTCTTGCACACTGTGCTCACAAAACTTCTTCAGAGATGCCTCAAGACACATAGAGACAACCCTTCGTTTCACAGCCTGGGCGGTGCTGAATGGAAGAATACCGTTTTTGGAGCGTGGCTCGTACGTCCAGCATATGTGATCCTCCGTAAGGCTGAGCCTGAGATCTAAAAACTGCAACTGCCCCTTTTTTGTCTCCATGCAAACATTTCAAGCCTTCACCACAAGACTTACCACCGAATTCACAAACCTCACTCCAATTGAGGCACACCTCCACTTCATGAAGGAAGGTGCAAGGGCCAGCGCTGGCCCTCACACGTACCTTGAGGAAGTGGAGGGGTGCCTCAAATGGAGTGAGGTTTGTGAATTCGGTGGTTAAGCACATCTAGTATTACAGTCTAAGCTCATTACAACAGACCTGGTTACAACAGACATTTGGATATACCATACTAATTTGTGAAGTTCGGTTGATTTTCTTCTACATACCATTGAATTAACTTCATATCTGCATACAACATACTCCTTTTACAACAGAACAAAGTCTTGGTCAAAATCAAGGTCTGTTGTAACGAGCTTGGAGTGTATTTTGATTTCACCGCTAGCCGCTGTAGCCATCTTGCTAAGAGCAAGAAAGTCGTCCACAAATCGAAAGACTTTAAAACTTCCCTGACCTCGCAGTTTCTCAAAGATGTTTTTCCTGCACCTATTTAGAAAGATATTTTCTATTTGGTTGAGCATGAACCTTCGTTTAAGTCCGTCAGAGAATGCACCAAATATAACGGCGCTATACCGTTCCAGAGCTCGTGTGGCATTAGCGTGGACAACTTCCACAAGCTTTTGGGCTTTACTTAAAGATTACTTTTCTGTCTTTTCAGAGGGAACTTTTCGTGCAAAGAAGAAGGAACTGTTTGTGCAAAGAAGCACCCCGGCTTGTTGACCTTCCACCCTGCATGCGCCTGCGAGATATTCCCGGACAACAGTGACCACGGCGAGTTTGTCCGCAACTCGCCGTCACTGGAGCTGGTCGCCAGCGGGTCGCAGTCAAAATGAACAGCTTCCAACATCTCTTGATAGCAATCACTCTCATCGTTGCTGTGATCAATGTCGAACACTTTGACAAGGCGAGCGATGCCGTAGACGTAATCGTCACGGACCGCTTGCTCAAAATGTGGAAGGTAAACGAGGAAGCTGAAGTCCGATACGCCAAGACAGCCAAGTCTGTGAGTGCGTGCAAGGAGACACCATGCTGGATGCTGGCTACGTAGCCAGCCTCCAGCTCCGCCCTGATCCACCCTTCGAGGGACCCGCATATAAATCAATTTATCCCCGAAACTATCGCGCCATTTTCAAAACCAATTTAGCAGGATTATAGGAACATACAATGGGTCCTAGCAGTTTAGTTATCTCAATTTATTTTTGGCGTGTCATAACCACTTTAATAGAGGGCTACATTGGTTGTACTCATGACTGACATTTTTTCATAATTATTTAAAAGATAGGTTTTTCAATAAATGTTGGTTGCGAGTGCGCCAGTGTTTACGTCAACTTCTTGTCCCTGTCTCTTTTTTCGGCGCTTGTCTACGAGCAAAAATTCTGCAATTTGATAAAATCTGAACAATCAGCCAGCAAAAGATGAGGGCTGATTGCGAAAAATTTTCAAAGCACAAAACAAGAATCGAAGTAACAAGAAGCAATCAAACAACCTATAGGAAAATGGCCTGCAAAGGGGGGTAAAGTTGAACGGGCTGCAAAGGGTCTGGATTTGCAAGAACATTGTGGGAGTTGCGAAGTAAGGCAAATATGCTGTCTCACAATGAATGCATTAAAAGGATTGTCCGGTCAAACTTTGTATTTGAGAAAACAATTGAATATCATTGTTATTGCCTCGAGACGCATCGTACGTGCAATATCTGAATTTTATATGCCCCTCTGCATGAGTAATTGAATTTACACTGCTCCAATCGCACCCTAGCGTAATTACTGTTTTCGGTGGCAACATTGGAGCTCTGACGTCACACAACACAAAGCGAGCATTTTTGTCTCGTCGTTTACCTGCAAGTGAACGCCTCAGCGTGCTTCGTTTTTGTCGTTGTGCTCGACTTGTTTCGTGGTTGGGGAGATTTTTGCTGCGCGGTTGGGTGCCACAACCACCGTGCAGCACGTGCGAGCCAAGACATGACGTTCCACACTTTTCCGCGAGACGCGCAGTGACGAGCAAAACAGATCGTCGCCGTGCGTAGGGACTGGGTTCCCGTCAAGATCGAGATCCCGCTTATGCAGCAATCATCTCACAGAAGAGAGCTACGAGCTGAGTTCAGTGGACAGAAGGCTCGTAAGGTGAGGTGTGATACTGTGCCAACAATATTAAACCAAGTCCATCCACTCCTTGCCCAGATCGGATCAATAAATTTGTTTATGCAGCAAAACCGAAACCAACAACTAGACCACCTGGAAACAACACCGATCCAGTGGATCTGCCGATATGTGTACCCAGATACCGCTTCGTGTACCTAGTTGCCGCTTCAGAGGCAAAATCTGCATCCTTTGCTTTGAAAGCGCTCCTGATTCGATCGGTGGTCGTAGCAGTTGTGTTTGCGTGAAACGGCATACATTTGCTCGAAGCTTATCGCTGTTTTCGAGTAATATCCTGCTAAAAGGCGTGACTTTTTTTGCGCACGCTTGGGAACTGTAATAAAAGAACCTTATTTCAGTAGGGTACAGCCTAGGACAGTAGTTCTCCACCATCAATGTCTCGCGGATCGGGTCGGCGGAGATGTGGATCGGCGGAGATGATGGAGGACCCCGTTCGTGGTGAGAGGAGAGAAAAGGTATATGTTAAATATAACAATCATTTAATAAATGGATATAACTAAGGGCTAGTGTGAAGTAGACCTCTCTTATTGACATTCACACGAAAAAACTCGCCCGAAAACTGAAACATTTCTTTTCGACCTGACAAAAAAAAAAAAAGAACTCTTATTGCCGGGCTTGACTGATGAGGCAGGGCTTCGCGGACCCCTAGAAGGCTTTTGCGGACTCCCATTGGAGAACCACTGGCCTATGAGACTATATAATTCGAAACAAAATACAAGACATCCATCGACCAACGCTTGTTATCCTGACCATCCGACAAACCTTTGCGTTTTGCGACGTCACGCAGCAGCTACGGATGTCAGCCATTGACACTGGCGAAATTAGGGGGTGCAGTTTCGTACATACGCTCATGAAAGATTTAGTTAATAACGGGAGATCATATACCAAAATAAAAATGTTGTTTGTCTACATGAAGGCTCCCTCGACGTAACGAGCGCAAAAACTTAAGTACTTCCGATTTCGACCGGACAATCCCTTTAAATATCTACTGCTTCATTAGTTTTGTACTAAAAATTATATTTTGATCAAGCACATAAATAAAAAGCACACAAAAATGCTTAGGCTCCCACCAAACTCCCGTGTTTGTCTGGAAGTCGTCCAGACAAAAATGAATGACCTGACATGAGATCACGTGACAATGTTAAACGACCACGTGGCTGCCGTCATGTGAAGAGGTTAAGTGACAGTCACATGGTCATAAAGGTATGCTTCATCCGTGATGTTGCAGCTCTTTTCAGAATCACCCGCCCACCCTCGCCTCCCGGAACCGAAAAACCAATTTTTCGTTAATAAAGAGGTTGAAACCCCATTTCACAATAACAGTAATGTGATTGGTCTGAGTCATTTTGGAGCACCTTTTAGAGCAGCCAAAAGTCTATTTTGGAGCAGTAAAAACTACTTTTGGAGCATAAGCACAAGCACATTTCATTTTCATTCATACCAGTCTGAATATCATGTTTCATGTTAAGATTTATGTGTTCATGTCTACTTTGCCTTCCTGCTTCTGTGCAACCTTTTCATAGCATAAAGAGCATGGCATGTTTGATTCCTTAGCTAGCAGCTTAATTGTGCGTAGAGGCACAAGGCACGGCAACAGGATGCTGATTGATGAAGGGCAGTACCAACTGCTGTGTGCCATTATTTTAGGTATGAAATAACCTGCAAACCAGGTAGTATATTTCATTGAAATACAGTCAGAATATAATGATTTCATATGCTAGCCTCAGTTTTATTCCGAAAAAGTCGCTCAGCAGACGGGTAAGCTGCGGTGAATCAAGATACGCTAAATTGTGACGCTTCCTACGCAGTTGTCGCTTCACTGCAATACACCACTGCATGGTGTCAAGTACACTCAATGATGCTAGCTATCCAGTCAGAAAAGACAATGTGCATGAGAAATGTTGCCAAACTTCCAAGTACTGTCAATGCTTGATACAGAATAAAATAGAATATTATGTTATTTGTGACGATAATCGAAAGCTATGGAAATTCGCACAAGCCTACCCTAACGATCTGGCCGCGTAGCGGTGCCTGACTTATTATGTTGTCAGTATTATTAAAGTGAAAACAAGTGAAAACAAGTTTTGGTGCAATGCTGGCACAAATTCCACATATTGGAAAAGTGGCAGGATGTAGCAGGGTAAGCGCTTTGGCGCAGTTTGGTGCAAATGATACAGCAATCACATCATTGCAACAAGCTCTGCAAGCAGGTATAAATAAACAAGTGAGAGATAAACAAGCTTTTTTTACACTCTAATGCTATCACAGGGAAGAAGCTTTTGGAATAAATCCGAAATGCTTATGTGCAACTCTGCTTACCGGTTGCTTCAGAAGTGCAACTCTGCTTACCGGTTGGTCCGCTGAGAATTCCCTATAATCAAAGAGGCGGCAGGTGTTGTACCAGGTCAACTTATTTGGGAATTTGTATTCCAACAAATTGAATGTGAAGCCTCGTACATCTAAGGGTGTGAAAAAGCATTCAGGCAACATTAGTGGGCAAGTTGGTGCAATAAATTAAGAAAACAGAAAGCCAAGCGATCTGTCAGTAACAAACAGAAGTAAACTTGTCGAAGCGAGGACAGTTTCTTTAAATCAGGCATCTCAAACTCATTCGAACGTGGGGGCCAAATAGCTCACTCCCGAGAGGTCAAGGGCCATTGAGGGGGGGGAGGGGGGGGGCATATCTCAATATTTTAGGACAAAAAAACAAGAGCAGCAATGGTGTTTCACATCGCAAAGCAGCCGACTCTCCCAGAGGCACCCCGAAGATTTTCTAGAGCTCCACTTTTCGTAAGCTCGCGGTTTTTTCAGTGACATCTTTAGCATTGATTTGCATACTATAAAATACCGGAGGGGTGCCCACCTCATTTTTACTGAAAAGTGGATTAATCTAGGCATGGGCGCTTCTACGGTCAAATCGGGCGGTTAACATATAATTTGAAGAGTTCGGAAGTTTGGAAAATGTTATTAGTGGGTGCTTGAAGGAAGTGGGCGCTCCTGCGGTATTTTACGGTATTTGTCTACTTTGGGCTCACAGCTAATATGATAACAAGATTTCAAATGTCAATGCGCTGACAGTTTTAAATGGAACAAGAAGAATCAGACTATCGTTGACTTGTTCCACCATTCAGAAGGGTCAGCAGTCAGGAAACAAGTACCTGTTTACACAGCAGTTTTTGCTTTTCCAACAGTTTTTATAGCATCATTATAAAAAGGACTTTTTGATTATTTTTAATCATTCCACCCACCCAGACAGGTCTCGGTTGAATGTTTACAATCAAGAAAGGACTAGTATTCTAAGGTATTTTCTGACGACCAGAAGCCCAACCTGATAGCTTTATCTTTGGCTATTGCTTTAGCTGAGCGAAAGTTCATGCAGCTGAGGTGCCTCTTTGGGCAAAGCTCGCACTTTTAGTCTCGTATGTAGTGGCATATTGTCGTTCCGGTTGATTTACGTGAGAAAGGATAGAGAAGCCAACATTTAGATGAAGCAATTCTCAGTTAAAAAAAAAAAAGAACATTGCAAAATGTGAGAACAAGTTAGATCAGTTGCTCGCATTTGGAATTTCTATATGTCTGCCGCTAGTTGAAAGATGCGGTATTGTTGTCCTTGCCTTACATGCTTATTATATCTTCAATCCTGACCCGCACCAACACGCTCTTCGTTCATCAATGTGTTATATGGGACGAGCTCCTTTTCCAGCAGAAAGGAATCAATGATAGGAAACTATTATTTATGGCGTGCGCTCGGAGGCACAGGAAAGGGGGCTTGCAGCTAGGGGATGCTTGAGGGCTGCGTCCTGGCCTGCAGATTGTGTGTTTGAAATCCCTGCTTTTTTTTAAATTTTGTATGTATTGTGGATTTTCACAACTAATAGTGCATGTTTATCGTAGTATCTGAAATATTCATGGAGAAACATAATACTTTTTGGTGAGCTGCTATGAAAAATCTTACTACGTTTCACAAATGTGAAACTTCGACGCTTCCTATTTCCTAACTCCTTAGCTCTGCACCAGTCTGTCCTAGAATGATGATCATACCCTCGTTTCAAAGAGCATTTCTTCAGAGTTTCAGTACATTAGACATTTTTGTTTAAACACTATTTGGTTAAGACCACCACAGAAGTCCAACTTTCACGTGGAAGAGGCTGTGCAAATGGACAAGAATCGGAAAGCCCCTCCTGATTGAACAGACAACTGATACTAACACAGACATTCGTTTATGTAAAGTCATGTCGGTTTGTCAGCTTTCTATCTCGAGGACGCCTTCCTGACCCCGAATCGCTGGTGGTTCACATATTGCAAGCGCACCCAACTCCTCACTTGTTTCACAATCAATGTCCACATGCCGACAACAAAATGACAATCGAAGAAAGCGTTCCAAGCTCGGACTCACTCGGCAAAGCCATGCAGGAGATTGGGTGTAAGCAGAAGGCATCACCTATGCTTGTCGTCCTTTTTTACTTGCTACCACCACGAGTAAAATCGAATGTAGTGGTGCAGAAACTTTAAATAGGTCTTTCTCAGTTTCACTTTTTTGCAGCAACTTTTGTTTTAGGAAATCTGTCATTTCAATTAATTGCCAAATTTATTCTTTGCTGTGGATGTTTCTGAACTGAAATTTAATAAGGAATGTGGCTAGATATTATTTCTTTAAATTTAAGTGAAGTTTTTATAGCCAAAAAGTATGGCTTTGGTGAGGAGAAAATGCCCCATTATGTGGAACACTTTTCAAATTGATATTTTGCATAGAAAAAGCACAGATTTCAGAGTAAAATATAGATAGCTGCGCCCCCAATATGTTCTGGTTAAGGCTGAAGCTTAGAAATGTTCCATATTTTGCAGCAATTTTGTATGATAGATTTCCTTGCTAAGTGAGGCGACTTGCATCATTAGCTGTATATCTCCCCCTATAGCTTATGGAAAATTTGTTCCATGAAGATGAAATGTCTTACAGAGCATTTAGACAAGGAGATGAATGGATCCTCCAAATTTTATCACCATTGAGCAAACTGGTTTAAAAGTTGACACTTGAAGATGGTGTCACCCCTTAAATCAAAACAAAAACTTGAATTTGGCAGCATTCAATGTGTTCAAACAGGCTTCAAACTTTTCAAAAGCTAAAGTTGAATGACATGAGTGTGAAGCCATCAAACGAAGCACAGCCATTGACTGATGACTGCATCAAAAATTCACAGCACCTCAGTGACCAAACCATCTATCCACGAAAGGAAGTCAGAAAACTTTCCACTGGAGCTGCCAATAATGCTCCTTGATTTGATTGTTGTCAAGAGAAAAGATGGCAAACATCCAATACCTCAGACAGCCATGGTTGAAGGGTGTATACTAGTATATACAATTTTTGGACAACCCCAAATGACTTGAATGATTGAGAGAGAAGAGCAACATGCAATGTGCTCAGCCCACAGTGTGTAGAAAAAACAAGAGTGAAATTTTACGGCGGCAGGTGCAGGAAACAGAATTAATGACTTGAAAGGAGACAGATTACGCACACCTATAGGACAAGCAATGTTGTACCGAATGAAAAAGAAAAAAGTCCAAAGTTAAGCTTTTACAATTTCTGGCAGTATTCAGCAATTTCACACAGGTATGAGAAGGCTTTTGAAGCAGAGAGAGAAAGAGTGCTCAAATATACACACCTTTAGAAAGGGTATCAATCGAGACGTTCAATGTTAGCTCGTTAGAATTTTCGTAGGTTGACAAAGAAATGCTATAGTCAAGTTCGACCAAAGATTTTGCTTCATGCTCCGGGGCCAGGTTCCAGGATTCATACCCATATACCTTGCAACCTGAAAGAAGGTGGAGGCATGAACGGTCAGCAGGTTAACAAGCACACTTCTGCACAAATCTTTTGTAACCAAAATAAATCCAACAAAGTTAAAAAAAGTTTTTTTTTTAAAAATTGAAGATACGCGTTATTGAAGCGACATTATTGAACAAATGCATTCAAAACACCCAGGTAACATTCTAAGTACCCTTTTTCCTGGAGTACCAGTCCACGCCCGGTTCCCGGTTACATACTAGTCCACACTAGGCGTTAAAGAATTCAACCATGTCTTGCTCCTCTTAAAAATAATGCGGCGTGAGTTCCCCCTACAAATAGCACTCCATTCCAATAAACAGAACAATACAAATCAGGGTGTCTAGCAAAACATTATTTTGAAATTCCCTGACTTTTTCAGGTTTTCCTGACAATTTCAGGTGAAATTCCCTGACCATTGTAGAGGCGGTTAAATATACAAGACCATTGCAACACAAGGCATTTTTTATCGAATAAAGCACAATTATAATTAGCACAAATTAGGGTATCTGACTAGATTGTCTAATACTGTACAAGGTTTATGCAAACACAATCTGCTTTTGCTGCTTAAGAGTGTCAGTTATTCCAGAAGAATTGTCCAAGCACACATCTTACTTCTTAAGGGAGTCGATTTTTTCTTGCAGGAGACCGGCCTCCATTAGTGATTCACGGAGCAACCTTCGCTTCTTTTCTTCTAGTTCTTTCACAAGAGCGGCCACTCTTTTCTTGTTTTTCTGAACATCTGACTCCTCCCGACTTTCTTCCTTCTTTTCCTGCAATTTCTCTCGAAAGACGCTGTACGAATTGCGAACCATCTGCACCATCTTGTCAGTAATTTCAACCTTGTCCATGCCACCTGCTTCCAGCACAGCCTCGTGTACTACTCGCTGCGCTATGAGCGATTCTTCTCTCAAGTTTTCAACAATGCACTCTGAGAATGCCTCTTTCTAAAGCAGCATTGCCGTGAGACAAGCATAGAATGATCTTGAAGAAAGGCAGCAGCGCTTTGTGATGATGGGAGCAGAGATCTAGCCACAGAATGTCCAGCCTCTTTTTTCCTGTCAAAATCTTTCAGTTTTTTCTGTGCAAGGCCCAGTGAACAGATCTGTACATAGGAACGATGGGCCCGTTTTGCTTGTAGACCGGTCAGCCACTGTTCTTCTGAAAGCACTTCAAGTGCGAGGGCCAGTCGTTTGCGGACAGCCACCAGAGGCAATGTGAATGCTGGATCCAAGCAGCTGGCACCCCTAGTTAGTTTATGCTTCAACGGTGACCTCTTCATCACCTTTCGGGAGCACACCTTAACGAAGGAAACACAGTTTTTCTTGAATTTGAACAAGGTGAGCTGTGGCAGCTTGGGTGCCTTGCGGGGCTCGTTCTTGCGGCAAACCCAACGTCAAAGGCAGCTACAGCTATACAGTTCTCGGGTTTGTCCAAATCAACCTTCAGTAGCTTAAGGGGCGTGTTCGCGGCATTCAGGATTTCCTTCTTGAGGATTCTTGCAAGCAGAAATCGTAGGACGTCGTACAGTGCCGTCGAAAGGAAGGAAACCATCGGCTTGTCGGTCTGAAATTCTGCCAAAAATGGCTCCAGTTCTTCAGCAATCGACAGCATGAAGGCTAGTTTTGCCGGCAACAGCTGATCACCGAGTGCGATCACAATGGTGCTATAGCTGGAGCATGTTGGCCGCTTGTTTGCCTTTTTTGAGCACCCTACAAACTTTGCCCAGTTCGGAAGAACTTGCAATGCCCTGGTGATGACCTCGCCGTTTTCGAGCCACCTTACTGCACAGAACTTGAGAGGAAATAGTTTGCGCACGGTGAAGTTGGCATAATCGGCATGACGAGCAGGCACATATTTGAAGAGGTTGTAGCTTACTGCGAAGAAATGCTACATCCCAACCAGTTGCAGCATGGGCTGCCTTGTATGCACCATTCATTACGTGCAGCCCACAACTTCATTACGTGCAGTCCAATGTTCAGAATATTGTGGCTCTCGTCCAATTCCTTCAGTTCTTCCTTCAGCGACCTTAGAAACTTCAAGTTTACATTTGGGCCATCCATAGAAACTTGTAGTATCTTAGCTTGCTTGATCGGTTCTGTGGCCTCCGTGAATGCTGATGCCAGGTCCTCCACACAGGTGTGGCCCAGGAAGCATGAGGTGAGGTACTGCGTGTTCACAGTGCCACTGGTAGTGTCCCAATATCAGACAAGCACATCCATTTGTTGCTTCTGAGTCGCTTTGTTGAGCGACTCGTCAAACGAAACAACTACAAAATGCACACTGGCGAGGCTTGTTAGCAACTTATTCCGAAAGTAGGGCGCAATACCATGGCAGATGGTATATCCTACCTTGTCCTTCCCTAACTGAAGTTTTGCAGCGACTTCACATGTGGGAAGCATGAGAGCGAAGAGTGAGGCCGATGCTGCTGTAGAACAAAGGGATCCGTGAATCGCTACCGAGTTTAAGCACCAAATTATCTCGGCCTTTGTCACAGCGCTCTTCAGTAAAAAGCCGATCGTTGACGTCTTCGCACTCGTTGAGGCGACTGCAGGCTCCTCCGAGGCACATGTGCGGTCTCCGCTACATCCGGCCGAAACGTTCGTTGCTGCCGTAAAAGACGACTAGTCCAGATTGGGAACGGCTTAACTGTGACTTCAACGCAGCAAGGGGCTTCTTGCTCGATGCGTGACTGGAAACTGCCGTGTTTCCCATGTCGCTCAAAGAAAACGTTTTGCGGCACATTGAGCACCGAGCGCTGTGAGGATCACTTTGCACAGGCTTAATCCAACTTGCATATTCTGATATATTCGGATTCGTCCAGTCCGGATTAAACAAGCCCTTTCTTGTTGCCGACATCGTCAACGAAAAGGCCACTTCCGGAAACACAATGGAAACACGATGCTCAACGACACACGTCAATAACCGAATGTATGGCCGCATCCAAAAGTATTTGAAAGTGCGTATCGCCAGATGGATACTTTCGGATTGGATTGAATTGAATTGCGGTCTGCGGCTTTCCCATTTGTTACTAAGTCTAGTGGCTTTAACTAGATCTAGCCTAGTGCCATGCCCTTAATCCAATCCAATGCATGGCTTGGACTGAATATGTCGGCTGTTCCCTTTGCATCGGGTAGCACACACTACATCGGGTGCGTTTCGCTCGCGTTCCGTGTTCGTCTCTAAGTAGAATTTATTGCCTATTTTTCTGCCCCTAAGTCGTCAAGCAATTGCTCAGAGAACTCTATGGCTTTTCCGGCTCGTTTTCCTTGACTGGGCTCGCTTTTTGACAATGAGTGAAGCTATACGCACTACATAGTGCACTTCGGCTGGATATGACTATACACACTACGCGGAGAGCTCGCCGCTTGGGTCACTCTTTTCGAACAGCGCGTGTATTACTGGGGAGCTCGTTAACACACCCCCCCCCACGCCTGCGTTCACGCCGCTTCGCGGCGACAGTGTGCGGCTACTGATTACAAAACTTAACCGGTACACGCCGCTTTGCGGTGTCCAGCCCCGCTGTCCCCAATCGCAGCTCCAGAAAGGGAGTCCCATACCGTTTAGTTCTGCAAAACTTCGTCGACAACATTCGTTTTTTTTTTTTTTTTAAGCGTTCATTGTAAAAAGGAAATGTCGTAAATATCACCGAATGCCTCGACAAAACAAAATGTTCGAGGAAAAAAAAGAAAAAAGTAGGCCCTCTCCGCGGATCGAACACGCGTCCACTTGCGCATAAAACAGACACCTTACCGCTATGCTAACCCACTGCTTAGAAAACTCGTTGTAACCATTCGTTTCATACGAGTTTCGCACAGTGCGTATAGCCATTTCCAGCCAAAGTGCACTATGAAGTGTGCATAGCTTTACTCTTTGACAATATCCCTGACAATTCCCCGATTTTCCCGGTCGCTAGACACCCTGACAAATGTAGATGCCATTTCTTGACAGCACTCAGATTTTTTTTTTTTTAATAATTCACATTGTTTTAAAAGAAGCGACAGTAAGCATGAACACTTTTCCACAATTTAAAAGCGACCATGGTTTCTGAAAGACTCCACAGTCACTTATTCACCTGTAGTAATGATTTTACAGCTGCAAGAACTGAGTTTTCAAGCCATCGAGATCAAGCTTGGTTACTGTCAGCTTGGGTGCAGCTTCCTTGCATATAACCCACAAGGGCATCGAGTGTGAGAGCAACACACTGAGAGTTTCAGCCCTCCTCGCTGACTAATGGCTAGTATGAAACAGCTTGATTTTGAGAACTGCACTCAGCGCCAGCTGCACTGACGACGAGTTATTAGAAAACAAATCCTTGTATAGTCCGCACATTTAGATAGTCCGCACGGTGTAGAACGTCAGCTTCTGAATGTGCATAGACTGCACACAGTAGTCTTGAAAAGAAGGCAAACATACAACACAAATGCCCATTGCAGATTAATGGCAAGGATCTAATATCAAGATGCCTTTCTCATTACCACTTGTCCTACCACATCCTCTTTGAAATATTAGTATTTTGAAAGGAATCTTCTTTCAATCTGGCTATGTTACACAAACTTAAAAAATGATGATGTGTTATGTACATTTAATTAAGTTGAAGGCTATTTAGATATTTACAGGTCAGGTTAGTAAGAACAATCATTGTGGACCAGCAGTTCGATCAGGGTCAAGCTGCACGAGCAATCTTGAAGGTTCGCCGCTCATCGTCATAGTGAAAAAAGAAGCACAACTTATGCCTCTTAAAAACAAAATGTTGTGCCTATTTAACAACCAGAATTGCAAGTTTTATAAGTCAACTGAAAACGAAAACATTTAAAGATGCAATAGTACGGTTTGAAATAAAGCCCAAAGCTTACTGACTACTTTTCATCAACAGAAAATACAAATGTTCAGAGTCTCTGTTTAGCAAATATAAATGAATTCCAATACCGAAGTTAACAAAGTATGATCCTACTCTATCTGATGATGATGATGATGATGATGATGATG